TTTGTTTATTGGTATATTTTAGGTCTACAGTACAGTTACATTCATCATTAGGATCTTGTACCTTTACATGACAGGTCTTGGTTCTCATTTTTTCCCCCTACCCCTACCCTCCCTTCACCCCCTCCTCCCTTCCCCATTTAAAAACACTTTATTTCCATTTTTTCGTTTTCTCAGATTTTTTTCTCTTCCCTTATTCCCTTTCCCCTACCCTTCCCACTTTCCCTACACCTTTAGCCCTTTTCTTCCAATTTCACATTGTCAATTATGTCATTGGGATCTTATGTACTATTACAGTTTTTCACACCACAGAAACTATTTGGAGTTTACACATGTGTGACTTATTTATTTCACTTAAGAGTATATCCTCAATATGTATCCATTTTCCTATGAATGAATCTAATTTGTCATTCTTTATGGCTGAGTAGTATTCTATTTTATAGAAAAACCACATCTTCTTTATCCAGTTTCCAACTGATGGGCAAATGGGCCATTTCCATGTTTTAGCTATTACAAACTGTGCTGCTCTAAACATAGGTGCACATATATCACTGTGATATGATTCTTTTAATTCTTTTGGAAAGATACCCAGCAGAGGGATGGCTAGGTCAAATGGAACCTCTAGTCCCAGCTCTTTGAGGTATCTCCATATTGATTTCCATAGTGGTTGCACCAGTCTGCACTCCCACCAACAATGGAGAAGGGTTCCTTTCTCCCCACAACCCCACCAACATTTATTATTGTTTGATTTCTTGATTGTAGCCATTCTTTGTGGGGTGAGGTGGAATCTCAGTGTTGTTTTCATCTGCATCTTTCAAATGACCAGTGCTGTAGAACATTTTTTCATATATTTACTTGCTGCTTTTACTTCTTTGTCTGAGAAATATCTGTTCAGAACTCTTGAAGACATTGGCATAGAAAAAGACTTTATGAACAAATCCTCAGTAGCACAGGAACTAGCAGAAAAAATCAACGACTGGGATCTCATCTTATTAAAAAGCTTCTGCACTGTAAAAGAAACCATCAACAGAACTAAAAGACAACCTACAATGTGGGAAAAGAATTTTACCAGCTGCCCCTCAGACAAAGAGCTCTTATCTAGAATATATAAAGAACTCAAAACAATCAGCCTCCCCAAATATAAAGACCTGATTAAAAAATGGGCATCTGAAATGAATAGGTATCTTCTTAAAAGAGTTAAAGACATCATGTTACAGTGATACATGCATACCTATGTTTATAGTAGTATAATTCTTAGTAGCTTAATCTTGGAAGTCGTCTATATGTCCAGAAACTAATGAATGGATAAAGAAAATTTATTCATACACAATGGAATTCTATCTGCCTAAAGAAAGATAAACTTGAGTTGTTTATAGGAAAATGGATGCACTTGAGACCATAATATTAAGTGAAATAAATCAGACACTGAAGCTTTAGTGTCACACGGTTTCCTCTTATTTGAGAAACCTAAATTATAAGTAAAGACCAAAATAAAAGATAGGAAATAGGGAGATATATATTTCTCAAGTGGGAGAGGGGCGAAGAGATGGAAGGAGGTGGGATGGAGGAGAAGGAAGGGGATAATAAAGAAAATAAGATGTGTTGTGTACATTTACCAACTCCACAATGGGAATGTAAACATTATACACTGCAAATGTGTACTAATAAAAATTTCTAAAACAGAAATGTGAAAGGTAGTTACATATTTGAACTGCAGGCAAGAAAGACAGGGTTGAGGGGTGTTAGTACGGTGGCAGATGGAACAGACAGTATTTTGGGGGACACATGTAACTTCCTTCTGGAGCTACAGTTCTTTTAGCTGCACGTCCCTGTGATTGTAATGATGAGACTGCAGTTAAGGAGCATGGGCAGTGTGATTGTTAATGGTGACACGTCAACCTGACTTTAGGAAGGACTGCCCGGCAGACTAGGAAAGCTGTGGGTGTGCCCAGCAGTGAAAACTGAGCAGGGAAGACCCACCTTGGACGTGGGCAGCACCAAGCAATAGACTTCTAGTTTGGATGGAATCAAAATAGGAAGGAAGAAAGTGCTTCCCCTTTTGGAGGTGCTCCGGGCCCCACCATTACCCTTGGATGTTGGTCTCCAGTTGCTTTGGTCTTCCGGACTCTCCAGCCTTCCAGCAGTCTTTGGCCTTCTCACACAGATCACAGCAGGGCCTCTGCAGTGAGTTTCCAGGCTGTGACCCTGACTGCTATTGGATCCTCCGGCTCTCTAGCGTGCTGAAGGCCATTTGGGAGTCTTCTGCCTCTGACTGGGCAGACAACCACTGGGACTCCACTACTTTTTTTTTTTTTTTATTCTTTATTGTTAAATTTTAGGTATGTAGTACAGTTACATTCATTATTGGGATCTTGTACCTTTACATGACAGATCTTGGTTCTTATTTTTTCCCCATTCCCCTGCCTTCCCTTCACCCCCTCTACCTTTCCCTATTTAGAAAGACTTTGTTTCCATTTTTTTTTTCCTTTTCTCATATTTTTTCTTTTCCCTTCTTATGTTTCCCCTACTTCTGATCGTGTAGGCCTACCTAATAAATCACTTGTATCATACATGTATTTTATGTTGACTCGGATCCTCCAGAGAACCCTAAACAATGCAAGATAGGAAGAGTCAAGGGAAGGGATGTAGAGAAAACTCTGAAGAACACTGACCTGTGAGGAACATGAGAAGGAAAGGGATCCTGCCCCAAGGACAAGGAAGACCATCTGGAAGATGAAGAAGAGAGATCCATGTGCTAGAGATGTGGAAAGTCAAAGTGGTTCGGCCATGTCACCCATGGAAAGACAGAAGGAGCTGTGGAATCAGGGAACAGCAGATGGGACAAACCCCCTGGACACACATGGGTCGGCTGTTTCTTCCTCATTGACACTGCCTGCTCCTTTAGGACTCCAGGGCCGCCTGCAGGACTGTGATGCCTGATGTAACATAGGACTGCCAAAATTCCTCTGTAGAGCACCAGGTAGCAACTATTTTAGGCTCTAATGGGATACAGTCACTGTTACAGCTACTTAACTCTGCCACGGTAACACAAAGTTTGCCATCGATGGTAAGGAAATGAAGGGATGCAGCTATGTTCCAGGGCATCTTTATTTATAAAATCAGGCTGAGCTTGGACATGGCCCATAGGCAGCAGTTTGGAGAACTCCGAAAAAATATATTCTCCAGGGGACTGGGGGTGGGGAAGGGGTAGGGGTAGGGGACGTGGAAAGTTTTAAGATATTTCAGGGACTCATCCAACTACCCACAATGAATGTAAAACATTAATTGTTATGAACTAAAAATAATAATAACAACAGTAATGAAAAGGGGGTGGCGTGTAGAGATGGAGGGAGGGTGGTGGGTCAGGATGGGAAAGGGAATAAAAAAGAATCAAGATGTATTATGTACATGTACTTATTCCCTAAGATGAATTCAAACTTATGTACAGCAATCATACATTAATAAAACAAGAAGAAAATAATTCTCTACCCTAAGAATTGAATACAAAATATTTCTCTCTCCTAAGGATACTGTACCAAAAAACTGGAAAAGTTGATCTATGTGGAGAACACTGTGCAGACTTAGATTTGATAATGTAATATGCTGTGAATTTCTCAAATTGTACCCTTAATAAAAACTATATCTACAACAACTCAGTTAACAACAATTTCTGCATTCCCTAGCTCCCCTTCCATTTCCATTTTACACGACTGTAAACATGACAATCAAAACCAAGAAACTGATGGGAGTGTGATGGTATTAACTGAACTGCATCGTTACGTCGATTTCACAATAGGATTAATCTCCAAGCCTTCTGCAGATGTCAAGTTTTCCCACCAGGGTAGCTTACTTTTGGTCTGCTCGTCCTACAGTCCAGTCCACAACCGCACTCCATTTGGTTGTTAGGTCTGGTGACCTGTGACGGCTCCTCAGTTTTTCCTTATTTTTCATGACCTTGACTCCTGGAAGAGTATTACTCGTGTATTCTGTAGGGTGTCTCTCAGCTGGGTTTGCAGGACGATTTCACCTCATGAGACTGAACTTGTACAGCCGGGGCGGGAATACAGCTGAAGTGTAGATCCCATCAAGTTATACGTGACGTGCGCACTTCTTCCTCCCGGAGACGTTAACCTTGATCTCTTCATCAAGATGACTTTCTTCACACTAAAGTTACTCATTTTGCTCTTGTAACTAATATTTTCAGGGTGATACTTTGATATTAAATAAATGACTCGTTTCTCCTTGAACTTTTGCTGACTTTAGCATCTTTACAGTTTTTGTTGCTTGCAATAAAAAAGATTCTTCTTAATAATTATTACCGTGGCCTTTGCAACTTTTCTCTGAAGTTTAAAAAAAAAAAGAATAGGACAAATGAGAAAAATACGTTCTTCATACCTATACAACTTTGTTGTCAGAATACTAACAAAAGGTATCATTATTTCCTGTGCGGATAAATTTTAATGCCTAAGCAGGCACAGTGGGGGGCAGCCACTGTGGATAGTAGCAATTGTCTCGCAGTGCTGCAAACCCTTTGCACAGAGGAGGGATGGCAGATGCCGAGACAGTACAGGTGAAAATGCTGTCTCTCAGATGTCCTGGGAGGCCACGCAAGCTGCCAGGGTTGGCTTTGGCAAAAGTCATTTAAATGTAAATGTAAAAGGTCCAAGGAAGAATATGCCTTTCTTGCTCACTGACTGTTACCGGCCTGGGTAGCACTGAAAATCTCTGTCACCACGGTGCACCATGAGAAAGGCTGGTCTTCAGAGTAGAAGGCAGAAGAGAGAAGGGAAGCTTCCAGGTCTCTGAAGATGGAGACGAGAGGCTACACTGCCTACACCCGAAACCAACCCCAGGCCCCGAACAAAGGTTACGTTGGAAAATCACCTTACCACTGCACAGAGCATTATGAAGAGGTTATTGTCTAACTTGCAGCCAAAATGATTCTGACTGGTTGTGGGATATTTATGATTACCTTGGTGATGATGGTTTCAGGAGCTCACGAGGTAGGTGGATCTAGCCTTACCGTGCAGAACGTTTTTCATTTGTGTATGTATACCTTGAATAATAATTGCATTTGTTATTCATATGCAGTGAGGAAGTGGAACATATACACATCACAACTTAATTATTTTTACTTGTTCCCCTCGCTGCTCTCTTTGCCTCCCCTCATTCCCAGATTCTCCCCAACTCTCCAGTTTACTGCTACTTTCTGTCATCTTTCATTTGAACTTTAAATTATTTATATGTTGTGTTTCTCATATAACAGAAACCACGTGACATTTAATCTGTGCCTGATTTACTTTATTTAGCATTATTATTTATTAGCATTATTAGCATTATTTATTTAAGATTATGGTATCAGGTTGCAACCATTTTCCTACAAATAGCTCAATCTCATCTTTCCTTATGGCTGAGAAGGATGCTGACATTTCCCATATACCATGTTTTCCTGACCCACTCATCTGTTGGGCTTAAATACTGCTTCTAGATTTAGCTATTATGAGTGGTGTTGCTTATAACCATGAGGGCCGCTGTGTCACTGTAGTATGATATCTTTAAATCTTTGTGGAAAACACCCAGAAGAGGTGTAGCTGGGTCAAATGGAACTTCTGTTTTCAGCATTTTGAGGAATTGCCACCCTGATTTCCACAGGGCTTGTACTAGTTTACATTCCTACCAACCATGTAGTGGGTGTTCAACTGAGGCTTGGAATACAAAGCTAAGGAAGATAAAAGGTCTAAGGTTATCCAGGGTCCAAGACAAGATGCGACCCCTCTGCATGGGCCCTGCAACTCCAGTGAGTCCCCCACCCTTCCAAGCAGAGGGATTGCTGGACCCCGGTGGACAGCAATGGACCAGTGTGCACTGTGCTTAAAGGGCCACTATGGGGGAGAATGTCCCCATGCTTCCAACAGAAGCCACATGGTCAGTCATAACCACAGTCCATCCTGACAGATGGCGCAAATGGTGAAGATCTGAGGGAGGCAAAAGCTCTTCATGCGTCCACAAAAAGTAACCCCCCCAAGAAACCCTGACTGATCGTAATAGTAAAATACAGTTAATTTTGAACACCTACTATGCCCTAAACACCCAACAAGAAAATAACCGGAGAGTGAAATAGTTCATGACATTTTTAAAATAGAAAGAGATCTTTTTGTCTGTCCCTTCTTGAGATTAAGAGGTATAAAATCTTGGGGGTGGGGGCACAGTCATGACACAGCCAGGGGAGCACATGACAGGTACGGGGAGTGGGCAGAAACCTGAGCCCTTACCTGCTACTCATTAAAAGCAATTTGTGTTTTCTGACAGAGTCATGTACTAAAAAGCCATTATTTGTTATGAGCCATGACTTTTCACTTGGGCCTACTGATGCCCCATAGGACAAAGCTGAGCCTTCATTTTATATCCTTTGGTATAGTAGATATTATGTCTGATCTCTTCTCACCTCTGCACAAGGGAATGTCGATCATTTAGGAAGTGACTTTCTAGGAGCTGGCCAGAGAGACCTGATTACCCCCGAATTTCTGTGGCCTTATTTCCCTAGAAGAAGATACTAAGAGAAGAGGTTTGTAGGGACATACACATAGATCTAGAAGTCTCTAACCATTGTCGTAAACCTGGGATCACCTGGTCTCCAGGAAGGGCGGACTGGATCACCACGTGATTGAGATCACCACAGTGACAGTCCTTTCCTGGGAAAGAAACCACCCTATCCGTGAGGATTTCAGAACTATGACACTAGCCAGTCCACCGTTGTGGGTGGAGCAGTCCGATCCCCTAGAATATGCCTCCCCCAACTGCTTCAGGTGGAGTACTTTCCCGTCTTCCCTCTAATCTTCCAATTAAAGCCTTTTTTACTCTTAAAAAGAAGTACCCAGTTAAATGTGTCATGTGCACTTTTAAGTTCTACAGAACAGAAAGAGAAGGAGTCAAGGGCAAGAATGCTACCTTGTATTGAGTAAGAATAAATGTACAACACAGATGAACCTTAGCTAATAAAATAGATTTTTTTTTCTATTTTAATGTTTATAATGTATTTATGCATATAAATAGATATATGTGAAACCTGTATTCAACTATACTTAATTTTAAAAGGCTATACTTTTCTGTTCTTTCAACATGAAGTTTTTTGTACAAGAGTAATGCATCTTAGTCACTTTCTTTGTTGCTGGGACAAAATAGTCAAGACCCACAATTTAAAAGAAGAAAGGTGTCTTTTGGCTCTCAGTTTGTAGCATTTTCAGTCCATAATTGGCTGGCTTCAAGGCAGGGCAGCAGGGCAGAGAGCAACATGCTCACCTCATGGCAGCCAGGAAGCAGAAGAAGGGAGGACCTGGAGCAGGAGACAGAACCTTCTAGACCACACCACTGGTGACCGGTCTATACTCCTCTGACTGGACCCCATCTCCCAGCAACAAGCCAGCTATGCATACGGTTTTAGGGATCATTTTGGATCTAAACAATAACAGAGTGGAAGAGGCCATTGGCCATAAATTCTGCCTGCCTTGGTTAAAATACAGACAAAACCCTATCCCTTTTTATGGAACACCACTGTGTGTCCCAATTCTTGCCCTTTAGAGAATCAGATTATAATTTCTGTACTGCTGTGACTATATCCCTGGCCTGTGGGATACAGAGTAGAAGGAGAGCCAGACCAAGTCGGGCTGTGTGAATTAGCAAGTAAAATAGCCTTTTATGTTTCAGAGAAAGGAAAGCTAACCCATGTATCCCACAATTCTTATTTCTTCCTTCTAGACCTTAAGCTTTCCCCCCTATAATATGTGTATATTATCATAGGAGATAGGAAAGTTGTAGGTGTTATATGATGAGAGCTGTGTAAGCTTAAAAGTGGAACCTTTCATTTAAACAGCAATAGGCAGGAAGCAATACAAAAATAGGATGGAAGAAAATAAAGACTTGTAACTGAGAATATGATGAAAATCAGGAAGAAAGAAGGACCTCATTTCCGCCTTCCAGTTCCTGCAAGTGCAAACAATAAACTGCTGATTTTGGAGAAGGTAATGCCAGATACTGAAAGTTGAAACAAAGAAAGTGTGCAGTGTGCTTTTGTTCTACAAAATTAATTGCTGTGGAATCACTATTAGCAGCTAACTCTAGAGTACACACTATGACATGAAAGAATGTTCTTTCCTAAAGATTGTAAGATTACCTTGTCATTTTTCAGTATTCTCCCTAGTACATCCTGTAAGTAGTCATTTAGACTAAACCAATCAAAAGGAAATTCAAGAATGAAAAGAAATCCATGCTTTTCTAAGCCTAGTGTCTAAAAGAAAGGAATGGAACAGCAATGAGTCATGCCTCTACTTTCAGACACACCTGCAATTTGACACAAGTGTTATTTTTACGTCGACACCAGTGGTGTTATTAATAATTTTAAAATTGTCACCGTATTTAAGTCTTGAATGCAGAGGCATCACACAGTTTGAGCTTATAAGAAAGCTCTTTGAAGGTTTGAAATTAGGAAAAAGGGAAAAATAATAGTGATCATTGCACAGCATTGTAGATTTACAAACCAGGTTCTTGAGCGCTTCATTCAGTAAGAAGCCATTATTGAAAGAAGAGAGTGCAACCCAAGGACATTTTCTCAGTGGTCCATTTGGGACTCACATGCCACATGCAGAAGCCAAGTACTGTATCCTGATTCCCATGGCGTGGGTGTTGCGATGTAAAATGTTTGCTTGTTCTCTAAATTTGATTTTTCCTATCTTGTGTAATTTTCCAGGAAGAAATAGGTTAATTGATCCTTCTTTCTGAACACTGATTTTTTTTTTCCCTTTCAATACTGGGAATCAACCCAGGGATATATGCGAGGCACCCCCCACCCCCAATTTTTGAGACAGAGTACCAAGTAGCCAGATTGCCCAGGCTGGGTTTCAACCTGTGATTCTACTGCCTCAGCCTCCCAGAGCGGTAGGTTTAAAAAAGTACACCACCAAACTTGGCTTGAACTTTACTTCTAAGTTAGATTTCTTTCTTTTTTTTTTTTTTTTAACATTAGATGTCTAACTGTTTGGGGGAGGATGTAGGGGTATGAAGGGGCCAGTGGAAAATGGTATTCTTAGAAATTTAATTGTAACAAAGTTTAGTATCTTGGCATAAATTTAGGGAGCCAGGGGACTGAGTTAGTTAAACAAGTGTTCCTCTCCTGCTGTGATTCCGATGCTTTAAGTATTTATCTGTCATTTATCAGGTGTCTGCTAAATATGTGGCCTCTGAAAAGAAGATTGCGATCACCTGGCGACATACAGAGATTCTTTGGAGGAAAATAAAACCTTCCTGTACAACAAAACAAAGTAATAATAACAAAAATCATAATACAATTATGGCCTGGAAGACCTGGTGCCTTGAAAACTTCAGTTAATCTTAGGGTGCTGTGGTTTCCCACACAGCTATATTTAGTCTGATACTTCAGAGGGATGTGGTTTTCCCATTAGGTTATTTATACTCATTGTTGGTGAGAATAGGCAGATTTGATGCCTATTTTAGACATCATTCTATTAAGGATAATGTACTACTAATCATAGGTGTAAATACATTTCTTAGTGAAAGCTGCAATACATTTTTGATAAAAGTCAGCAGGATAACAATAAATAGGAGTTAGATACTATATCTCTCAGGAAAGTAGAAGAAAAGATATTCAGTGTTTTCACCTTGCACGAACTGATGAAATAGATGCTTAATCTGATTTAAACATTACAGAATGCACATATAAATTAAAGCATCACAAAGTACCCCATTATTAAGAGAATTTTTATATTTTATGTATCAGTTAAAATTAAACTTTAAAAAATAATTTGATTTGATTGTAGCACAGAGTGAGAAATAGGAGTCTAGTTTCATTCTCCATGTAGATAACCAGTTTTCCCTGATGGCTGAAGGTACATGTGGTTGCCTCTGTGCCTTCTGTTCCATTAGTCTACATGTCTACATTTTGTGCCGCCACCATGCTGGTTTTGTTACTATAGCTTTGTAATATAACTTGAAGTCAGGAATTGTGATGTCTCCTGCTTTGGTGTTTTTGCTCTGGATTGCTTTGGGTATTGTGAGTCTCTTCAGGTTCCATATAAATTTTGAAAAATATTTTTTCCAGTTCTATGAAGAACATTGTTGGTTCAAGCACAACAGGAGGTGTCTCCATTTTCTAATGTCCTCCTCGATCTCCTTCTTCAGAGTTGTATAGTTTTTGTTATAGAGGTCTTTGACCTCCTTGGTTAGGTTGATTCTTTAGTATTTAATTTTTTTTGGAAGCAATCATGAACATAATAGTCTTTCTGATTTCTTTCTCTTTAGATTCATTACTGGTATACAAGAATGTTATTGATTTTTGAGTATTGATTTTGTATCCTGCGGCTTTGCTGATCTGTTTATCGGTTTAAGAGTTTTCTAATGGAGTTTTAAAATCTTCTATGTAAAGGATCATATTACCTTTAAATAGAGATAATTTAACTTCTACCTTTCTTATTCTTATCCTTTTTATTTCTTTTTCTTATCTGACTGCACTGGCTAAAGTCTCAAGTATTATATTGAATAGGAAAGGTAATCTGCTTCCTGATCTTAGAGGGAAGGCTTTCAGTTTTTCTCCATTTGGCAAGATGTTGGCATAGGTTTGTTTGTCACATATGGTTTTTATAACTGAGATAAGGTCCTTCTATACCTGTTTTATCAGAAAGTTAGATATCACATGGTTTCTCTTGCATGAGAACCCCCCAAATATAAATAAAGTGCAAAAGGCAAACATTTTGGAGAAGGGAAAAGGAAATTGGGGAGAAGAGGACAGAAAATAATGAACATATGTTAGTGTAATAGTCTCCTGGCGTGAATATAAATGTCATATATTGCAAATACATATCAAAATAAATCCAGGAGAGTGAAATTTAATAATTCTTGTGTGAGGGTAAATAACTTATTTCATAAATTAAATTATATATTTTGCATTTAAATACAAAATAATGTATTTCAGCCATTAGATTTTGACAAGGGGGCCAAAAACATCCCTGGAGAAATGACAACCTCTGTAACAAGTGGTGCTGGGAAAACTGGTTATCCACATGGAGAGTAAAACAACTTACCTCCTGATTGTTCAAGGTGCTTCCTATACTTTAATGTTCTTAGGGAAAAGCACAGAGCAGGTGTCAGCAAATGTTTACTGCGTGAAAGAAAAGCAAAGAAAAAAATTGTAATTCAGTGGGATAGAGAATGTTGGCCAGATGTAAGGTGACACTTAACTGCTTGGTGCTTTCAATGAGCAAATAGTGGTCTAAAAGGAAGAAAATGGCGTCCACGTCTCTCCTCTTCACAATTCTCTCCATGATGTCAATACACTTACGTAGATAAAGTGTGTGTGTATGTATTATCTAACCTAGGTTTCTTTTTCAAGAGAGCAGTACTGAGGATTGTTGTAGTCAGCAGGACTGGATGAGGGAATACATTCAAAATACAGGACACATAATTTACAAGGTTATTTTATGATAATTACTCAAAGAGTCAAATGCAAGGAGTGGGTCAGGAAAACATGGTATATGGGAAATGTCAGCATCCTTCTCAGCCATAAGGAAAGATGAGATTGAGCTATTTGTAGGAAAATGGTTGCAACCTGATACCATAATCCTAAATAAATAATGCTAATAATGCTAATAAATAATTACTTAAATCTTCCTAATATAGTTGCGTTTTAGCTTTTGAGTTTCTAATGACTCATAGACAGAGAGGCCCTGAGCTCCTCCTCTGATGAGAACAGCCTAGTCTGCATTAGGAAAACCACCCGCAGCAAGCTTCTCCTAGAAAATCAACAGGCCAAGATTTTCCCCTCCAGTTCTCTTTTTATGGCTATTGGTAACAATCTTCAGGTGGATCCTCCATGCCCAGACCACGTTGATTCCGTTCATCACAAGTTGCCCATTAGTCAATTCACTACAAGGATTGAACATGGGGCCTTTACTTTGAGCTACATCCCCCCATTTTTATTTATTATTTATTTAAATTTTGAGACAGGGTCTCACTAAATATCTAAATTTGCCCAGCTGGGTTTCAAATTGCAATCTTCCTGCCTCAGTCTCCAAGAGCACTGAGATTACAAGCATCCACCACCACGTCCCACTTCTAGTCCTAAAATTTTTGAAGATTCCTTCCCCATTGTAAAGTTTGCAGCAGTCATTTAAATTGTTTACATTTTATTGTAGAACTCTACTTTAAAGATTTGTTATAAATGTTAAAGGAGGCATGTGTCAGAAAACCAAAGGTTTCTCACTGACTCACAGAGCTCTATTAAAATAGAATCAGAGATAATTTTCATCTGTAGTTCAGTCTCTTGTTGAGAATTTTAAAATGTTTTAAAATTCATGGGAATCATCAACACTCAGAAGAATCACATCTTTGGCAGTGAAAAATACATTGAGAGATTTTAAAGCCTGCGTACACTGCCACTGAAACTTATTATTTATGAACTCTGCTCTTTAAAATTGAGAACAAAGCAATTAACTACAATTTCACACCTTCAGTAAGACTAAGAACACAGTCTGCCAGCTATTGTAAATTCCAAAGTATATTCCTCACTTAAATTTATAGTTCCATTGTGTGGAAATTTTTTTCTTATTCAAAAGAAGGTTGGAAAATGACTCTCCTATTTTTTTTTTTTCACTGAAAACAGGCATTGGGTGCCAGTTTTGTTCTTAAAACAATGAGCTTAATAAGCCCCATTGTAAAAGTAATAGCAAGTCCCATACCTGAGCACATGACACACACAAGCAGAATACAGGAAGTGGGATTACATGCACCTGCTTGGTTTGTCACTGAGTGTGGTGGTCAGAATTTGGCAAAAGTGCACCTTGGTAGCCTGCATAGACACTTCCATGTGCCCAGGGCTTCATGCATACTCCCTTACTCCTCACAGTGACCTGTGATTCTCATGCTACCTACTAACTGATGCTTTCTTCAATCAACAAGAAGGGAGAACTGGCTCCAGCTCACACTTGTGGGAAGACTTGGATCTGAATGTGAGTGGTCTGAGCAACATGTAGGCACTTTCCTCCCTCTCGGCTATACTCTGCTCGACTTTGAGTAGGAATCGGGGACCATAAAAGGCTAAGCAAATGACTTCATGCCAACATGCTACAAGCCAACACCTTTTCTACCAAAAAGGTAACCTGATACAACTTTTTTATATCAACCATAGAAATAATTTCCTAGGGCCGGGGATTTAGCTCAGTGGTTCCACGGCCTGCCTTGCAAGGGCAAGGACCCAAGTTCAATCCCTGGTACCAAAGAAAGAAAAGAAAAGAAAGTTTCTTTGTTTTTCACACTTGCAAGCTGCTTAAAGAGGGACTAGAATTGAACTTGTTCATTAGATCAGCTGTGTTCTCAATATTGTCACCCTTTTCTTCCTATTCCCTTTGCCTGGGTTAGGTCCCTGTTTCTTCCTCCTAAACTACCATATCTCCTCATCCTTCCCCCAGCCTCTTCCTCAAATGTTTCAGAGAGAAGTTCTGTTACTTCCTTAAGCTGAACAAAATAAAACAAAACAAGTGTCATTGAAGCCCTGCTTGTGAAGACCAGATCAATCCCTACAACCCTGACTTCCTGTGGCTCGTCCCCTGCTGTGTTTTCACTCCCTTTCCTGTCCCGTCAAGAAGTAACCCCAAAATGCAAATGAAGAGTAAACCGGGAGAGATGGTAGAAAACAGAGAAAAAGACTTAACTGAGATTGGAATGAGGGTGAGAGGAAGGGAGAGAGGAAGGATAAAGGACAAGTTAAAGTAAGGAAAATGATCAAGGTACAATGCATGCATGTAAGAATTTCCCAAAATAAATGTAGTTGTTATGTCTCACAAGTATGGGTACCAACAAAAGTAGATAACTTGTAATTCAGCTGGTTTCATGAAATTCTCCTCCGGCCCCAAACTCAACTAGAGACTATTCAAAGAACACTTATTGAGATCCGTTATATTTAGTGGCCCGTGCCAGGCATTTTGATAAATGAAAATATAAACCCTACGTGGATCTTGACCTCAAGTAACAGATGTTTTGTAATCAGATAAGTCATATCGGTACCCACCAAAGTAGAATTACTTCAAGTTAATAAAACTTTACAGATTTTATCTAATTTGGTCAGGAAATGTGCATGTCATTCAGATTAATACACTTGGTAGGAAAATGAAGTTCAAGATGAGGTCCTTTATCTTGCCTTCATTTCTCCATTTGTTTCATTTAGAAATTTTAAAAAATTGATCCCATATATATTTTCTACATTCCCGTTATTGATCACCTAGTTTCCTGGGCTAAAAGAGATTTCTTCTTGCCCTCTGTCTATCCGAAACCCATTGTAATATTTCCATACTAATTCATCAAAGCTCAGCCCACAGGAAAACAACCCTGCCCATATGGCAGGTCCTGTAGTTAACGTTTTCGTCCGTCAGCCCATGCTTCTGTCAGGATGGGACATCGGGGAAGCAATGTTTCCTTCATAATCAGATCACATTCAGCGTAACTGTAATCTTGTCAGAGTCTAGATTGAGACCCCCCAAATGTTTTGCTGAATAAATATTTTCCCAATCAAAACTTTGTCATTTCTTCCTGTGTTTTCCTTCAGAACTGTAAGTTTTATTTTTTGATTGGTAAAAGTTTGTGATACTTCATAATCACATTCAACCGGGGTGACTTATGCATATCCATATCACATCTTGACCATTTTACTTCTACTCTCCTATCCCCTTCTCCCTAGACACCCTTCACTTCTCCACAAAGTCTATTTCCATGTTTCTTAGTATGTCTCTTTTATTTTACTCTTTAAATTATTTATATTTTGCATCCCATATATTACAGTCACATTCTGTGACTGACTTATGTCGCTTAATAGTATGGCATCGAGATCCATTTTTTTTCCTACAGTGACTCAAATCTATCCTTTATGGCTGAGTAGTACTCCATTGTGTATATATTCACCAGCTTCATCCATCTGTTGATGGACATATAGATGCTTTCCAAAATTTAGCTGTAGTGAGTTGTGCTGTAATAAACATGGGTATGCATGTATCACTGTAATCTGATGCCTTTAGCTCTTTCAGGAGGATGCCCAGGATAGCAATAGCTGGATCAAGTGGAATTTCTATTTTCAATTTTTGGAGGAATTTTACTGATGTCCCTAGTGGCTGTAATAATTTATATTCCCACCAGCAGTGTAGCAGTGTTTCTTCCCCTACACACAACTTTACCTGCATTTATAAATTTCTCTTTTCATACACATTTACTTTTCTTTTTTTAATCTTTTGTTTTGTTTTGTTTTCTCCATCTTTGTAATGCCAAGTGCTTCACATGCTTAAGTACTAAATTTCAGTTTCCTCACCTGTAGGTTAGAGATAATGTTACATAAAATATACAGTAATGAGTGGGACTGAACATAACAGCATCTCATATTGGATGGTAGCAACCGAATAATGCTGAGGAAGGGAAGAGAGAGGGGAGGATCTGGAGAGGGGAATTCAAAAAGTAAGTCTGAGGGCCGGGGATTTAGGTCAGAGGTTCGGTGGCCTGCCTCACAAGTGCAAGGACCCAAGTTCGATCCCCGGTACCAAAAAAAAGCAAGTCTGTTCTTCTCTGGGGATCCAGGTGAATATATAGACAGAAAATAGCCAGATAAAATGGAAAATATTAGAGAGAAAAGGTGAGAACAGTCTTTCTAGCAAAGATAAAATTCTATCTCACTTGGAAGTTTCATATAAGTAGAGCTCTAGAGCGTTATTTTGCATCTGCAGTTGTCCTTGCTGATTTGTGCCATGGAAAATCAGCTGAGAAAATGGCATGGGCTAAAAATAGCTTGAGGTCCACACGACAGTGTAACTTATACCAAATTAGATGAATCACAGTTTTGGACTCTTTTAAGTGTAGCCAACTTCGCACACCCACATATTGAGGATGAAGATAGGAAGAGGGCAGGAAAACGCATGGAGAGCCATCTCCTCTTCAAAACAAAAGTGGGTGGGCCCTACCACCTTGAAACTAACACAACTTATTCACCAGGAGGGTGATTTACCATCCGAGTTACCACATCTCTACACACATAAAGGAATCATGAAGGTCATCGATAATACATGGTCCTTCCTTCCCATTTACCTTTGCAATATATATATAAACAGGTACTAATGCATTATGGCA